GCGGCCACGGCCCCTCGGGTCTCTCCCACATGGCCTCCCCTGGCGGCATTCACTCCTCCGGTCACCTCGGCTCCTCCTCAGCACGCTCCGATGCAGCCGCAGCCGCAGCGGCGGCCGCAGCAGCTTCCGGCTCGCCGCACTGGCAGCAGCAGATCCTAAAGGCAGAGATCTCACGCCAGTCCGCCTCTCCACACCATCACGCGCGCGCAGCCGCACTCGCAGCCCGCTCCGCCACCAGCTCCGCCATCGCCATCCAAGACCCCAACAAGGGCATCGTGCCCCCGCAGGTAGCAGCCAACGGCCTCTTTGTCGCAAAGAAGGATTCGAGCTCAGCCAACGGCGGCGGAGGCGATGGCGACAAGGGAAGCGGCGCAGCCGATGCAACGCCTGGCACACCCAACCCCACACCCGCCGCCACCACCGCATCACCAACGGCAGCCAAGGACAAGCAGACGTGGTCCACCATCGACATGGGCGGCCTCGCGCTCAAGAACATCGCCAACGAAGTCTACCGCTACTCGTTCCTCACCTCGCTCTTCATCAACCACAACGCCCTCACCACCATCTCGTCCGACATTGTCAAGCTGCGTCACCTCACCGTCCTCGACGCATCCGGCAACAAGCTCAACGCCGTCCCCGCCGAGCTCGGCATGCTCACCAGCCTGCGCGAGCTCTTCCTCTTTGACAACAACCTCGTCACCCTGCCCCCCGAGCTCGGCACGCTCCACCAGCTCGAGATGCTCGGCATCGAGGGCAATCCGCTCCAGGACAACCTGCGCACGCTCTTCCAGCGCGACGGCACCGCCGCCGTCATCGCCTACCTCCGCGACTCGTGCCCCGTCCCGCTGCCGCCGCCAGAGCGAGAGTGGATCATGATCGACCCGGACCTGCCGGACCTGGACGCGGAAAAGCAGGCGCCGGACGCGCCGCAGGAATCCTTCAACGTGCTCTCGTACAACATCCTCTGCGACCGATACGCAACCGCGCAGATGTACGGCTACACGCCCTCCTGGGCGCTCACCTGGGACTACCGCAAGGAGTTTATCCTGCAGGAGGTCATGTCGTACAGCGCCGACGTGTGCTGCCTGCAAGAGGTCGACATGGAGCAGTACGAGGACTACTTCCTCCACCACCTCTCGCAGCAGGACTACGAGGGCGTCTTCTACCCCAAGTCGCGCGCGCGCACCATGCGCGACGAGGAGAAGCGGCGCGTGGACGGATGCGCCATCTTTTACAAGGCGACCAAGTACCAGCTGATCGAGAAGCAGCTCGTCGAGTTCAACCAGATCGCGCTGCAGCGGCCGGACCTGAAAAAGTCGGAGGACATGTACAACCGCGTGATGACCAAGGACAACATTGCGGTGATTGCGCTGCTGGAGAACAAGCAGAGCGGCTCGCGGCTGGTGGTGACCAACGTGCACACGCACTGGGATCCGCAGTTCCGCGACGTCAAGCTCGTCCAGGTGGGCATGCTCATGGAGGAGGTCGAAAAGGCCGGTAGCCGCTTTGCCAAGCTGCCGCCCAAGCTGAGCGTCGCCGAGGGATACCCGCCGGCGCCCAAGTACACGCACGGTACGCAGATCCCCACGATCGTCTGCGGCGACTTCAACTCGGTGCCCGAGACGGGAGTGTACGACTTTTTGGCCAACAGCAGCGTTCCTGGCGATCACGAGGACTTTATGGACCATGTCTATGGCAACTACACTGCGCACGGTCTGCAGCACAACTACCGACTCGAGTCGTCGTATGCGCCCATTGGCGAGCTGACGTTCACCAACTACACGCCCGGCTACGAGGGAGGGATCGACTACATTTTCTACTCGAAGAACTCGCTCAGTGTCACGGGCGTGTTGGGCGAGGTGGACAAGCAGTACCTCTCCAAGGTCGTCGGCTTCCCCAATGCGCACTTTCCCAGCGACCACATCTGCATCATGGGCGAGTACAAGGTGAAGCGCCTCGAGCATGCGCAGCCGCCCACCACGGCGCGCGAGGTTCATCATCCCTCTTCGTCAGGTCCTGCTGCCAGGAGGTGATCCGGGCATCTTTGTCGCCCAACTGCCCTTTGTAAATGCATTCCCACTGTACCACCTCCTCTCTCTCTCTCTCTCTCTCTCGCGCGCGCTTTGCGATCCTCTCTGCATCGTTTTTTGTCACAACAGCGTTCCTCTTTGTATTGCCCTCCTTTTTCTTCCTCTTCCCTGCCCGCTTTCTTCACTTCTTTGCGCTTTGGCTTGTTGACCTTTCATCACTTGGCGCCTACACTTTGGCTGTTCTTTCTTCCATTTTTTTTTCCTTTGACACTCTCCATGGCGAGGTGTAGATGCATGCGCGTGTGTGCACTCTCGCCTTGTTTTATGTGCACGTCGCCCGCTGTTGTTGGAATATCCATCTCTGGCTCTCTCTCTCTCTTTCTCTCTCTCATATCCAAATTGCTCGATTGTGTTGTGTGTTGCTGTTTCATCAAAGCTCCTGTGAGGTATTTGGGGCAACTTTTTGAGGCCTCAAATATTGCGGTGCGCAACAGAAGAGAGGATGCAAAAATTCTCGAGGGTGTGGCAAGTCTTAGATTCGCTGACGCTTTCGCTGGTTGTTGCGCGCGGCGGTAGCAACAAGCGTACTTCGGGCCGAGTTGGCCGCTGGCGAATCGTCCGTGCCGCTCTGCAAGCTATGCGTACTCCGAACCGTCGGAGTTGAAGATGGTGGATGTGCAATCGTGATCAGGGGAGGATTGGGCTGCAAGGACGGGGCGGTGCTTGGCGCCGAAGTTTGCATGCCCACCGTGCCCAACGCGGGAGGAGCAGCTGGTCCAGTCGACCCAACCGAGGCCTTGCCAGCTTCGCCGCCCGAGCCCTGCTGCGAAAGATGGTGTTGACGATGCAGCAGCTGGGCAAGCCGGATGGGATGTGCGCTGTTCAAATTGGCCTGCTGAATGGCGGGGAGGTGGTGTGCGTCGATGGGCGGTTGATAGTTGCTCTTCATCTTGGGATCCAGGTCGTCGTGGATCACGCGTCGGTTGGGGTACGTGCCGACGGGTTTGGCCAGGCTGGCAAAAGCGTTGAGCGTAACTTGGGGCTCGTGTGCGAACCAGCCGTGGGCAAGCGCCTGATTCGCCGTCAGACGCTGCTCCGGATCGTACTGCAGAAGGTCGTCAAAGAGGTCGTAGCCATCCTCGCTCTTGTGTCTCGAGGTGTACCAGCGCGAGAGCGTCTTGGGATAGTTGTCGAGCCTCAGATGCGGCCACCAGCCCTTGTAGTCGGGCATGGACTCGATCGCCGGCCACCGCTCCTTGTTGGGCGTACCGAGCACCTCGACGATGCGCTTCAGCTGGTCCGTCTGAAACGGAGCCGCCTTGGTCTTGGGATCCATCTTGGCCTCTTCACCCTTGAACATCGGCCGCAGCGCCAAAAGTTCGCCCCAGATGCATCCCACACTCCACATGTCAATCGCCGTCGTGTAGTGGCGTGCGCCTAGGAGCAGCTCGGGCGCACGGTACCAGATCGTCACCACCACCTTGTCGCCATTGTACAGACTCTGGAGCGGCGACGAGTAGAGCCTGGCCAAACCGAGATCGCCGATCTTCACCACGCCGTTCGAGGTGACCAGGATGTTGGCCGGCTTCAGGTCGCGGTGCAGGATCCAGTTGGCGTGCAGGTACGCCACGCCGTTGACCAGCTGCCACATGAGGCTCTTGAGCACGGCGGTGGGGATGGGCGTGCGCAGCGCCGTCGAGTGGTAGTGGATGATCTGCAGCAGATCGTGCTCGGCATACTCGAACACCATGTAGATCGCCTTGTCTTCGAGCATCACCTGGCGCAGCGTCACAATGTTGACGTGGCTCAGCTCGCGGTTGAGCGAGATCTCGCGCATGGCACTCTGTGAGATGCCCGTGTAGACGGTGGCGTCGGTCTCCTTGGTGTCCGGCTTGAACTTTTTGATCGCAAAGATCTGGCCGTCACCGCCGCCGAGGGCTGTTGTAGCTGACGAGTTGTCGGCTGTGCGGCTAATTGCCGCTCCCCCATTGGTGGTGGTGGTGTGGGTGGTGGTTGCGGCGGCGGCGGCTCCAA